TCCCCCCCTTTGAGATAACATTGAAATTAGGACCAATTGCATGTAAGAAAGAATTAAGGCTTTAATCGGCTTTAATAAGTTTTTTTTTAACCAAATTCAACCCTGAATTAGGCTTATTTGTTTGCATGACTTTTGACGGATATTGTCTTGCTGCGACGGCTGGCTAATGCTTTGGCAAACACATGACACCAGGAACATATACAAAAACAATGAACAAGAACGAGGACATCACATCATCCACATTACCTTTTAACTCATTTCATGTGTGTGTGTTCCTTTTGTCGTCCGATTGGACAGCGCTGGGGGCCGCCATGGATGTTGATGAGGGCATGGTTAAAAAACAATGGTTTTGAGCCCGTTTTCTGTAGAAATAATATAAACTTACGGTGAACATAGCTGCAAAACGTGGTAAAAACAATTGTTTTTTTACCAGCACCCAGATTTCCGAAAATAAGGCCCAAATGAGCTCAAACTAAGGTCAAAATAAGATTTTCTTCAAACATATAATCAAAATAAGCTGAGAATTAGGTGAAAACAGCTGCAAAACAATGTAAAAAAAGACCTATTGCTTTGAGCCCGTTGTCTGTAGAAACAGCATCAAAATAAGGTGCAACAAGTGTTCCCAGCCAACACACGAAGTTTGGGGGCAATGGTTTTGGGGAACCCTTTCGGGATTGGAGGCGCAGCTCCTTTTGACTCTGGATGCGACGGTGCGCGCATGAGAATGTCCCACCACTTTGGGCCATACGCCAACGAGTGTTGTACATGGTCTCCATGTAGGCCTGAGTACACAGCGTTGCACTTGACATTGGAGGGAAAGTGTTGGCGTTGGACCCATCAGCTGTCATTGCTGCGTGGGCTGTTCTCATCCTCTGGCTCGGTGTCCACATACTCCCGGTAGTGCATTTGCTCATTTTGCTCCAGGATTTCCAGTAGGCGGATACGTTCTCTTTCGAGAGCTCCGATCCGACGGGACGGAACAGCACCTCACATTGATAGTTCCTCTCATCCAATTCCGGATTGAGGGTGTCTAATTGCACCTCAGCTGCTACCAGCTCTTGTCCATCTCGGCCTTGAGCTTGTTGTTGTTGCAGCTTCCTGATGGTCTCGATCAGCATTCCGGATTGGCGTTTTTCTTCACGCCAGGCAGTGAAGTAGTGATCTCGTTCACCCTGAACTTCACGTAGGGCTTCCGTGAGGTCCGTGCACTCGATGTCCTTGCGGACGTAGCTGTCCTGCACTTCTGCTGCTTGTTCTTTGACATCTTGGAGAGTGTCGGAGAGACTGCTGATCTGCACGTCTCGGTGGATGCATGCATGACGCATCTCACTCATGACTCAGTGAGCTCATGTAGCTCCAGGGATTGCGTCTCTGATGCGGTAGTCCTCGATGTAGGGCTCGATCTCGTCATCCACCAAACCACCTTGTCGATGATCAGGATGAAGACAAACGTCATGAAGTAGATCAGCGGCCACCAGCCGTTGTCCTCAGCTCATTGACGTCGGATCCCTTCAGCGTCTCGGCGCTCACCAAGGCCACAGTTGCCGAAGCAATCTTTGAAGTCATGGATACCCTGGAAGCTTCGCGCTCAGTACTGTACTGTCTTCTTCTTGGATGCGGTGTAGGACGTATCGCCCACCAGTTGAAGCCATCCACTCTTCAGAGCGTCTGAAAACTGCTGTCTGGACCCGATTTTCGTGAGTCCATCAGCGAGTTGTCTTTCGCTGCTCACCCAGCGAAGTTGTCCTTGAACTTGTTTGATCAGGTCTTTGATGACCAGTGCTTCAATGGCTACCCGCTTGTCCAGAGAAGATTAACTCCTTCTCGTTGAATCAGGTCGTAGAGGGCTTTGCAATCTGTGACGATTGCATGGGCATGTCCAGCTTGTCCTGGGCGTCCTTGACGTTCAGCTGGGGCTCGAATAGCATCTTGAGAAACATCTTGAGCATGAAGGTCTCCTCCAGTGCGCTTGCCATAGCTTGACTTTCAGCACTCAAGGAGGATCGGCATACTCGAGGAAGTTTGAACGATCTCCAGACTAGAGGGCTGTATCGGCATTTCTCACCTTTCAGGGCTTTTCGGTCTGTTGCTACGACCAGATACCCACCTTGTGATGCCAAGTCAGTTCTGACACCAAAGGCAGCATCGCAGAAACAGATGATGGCAAGGTCCTTGATGTCGGAGACGATCTCCTGGAACTTCAAGGGGTTGTTCGCAGTCTCCTTGCCAAAACGTAAAGCCTTGTTGAGGTTCTGGATCACAGTGCCATCACCACTTCAAAGCTCACCTCAACAATCACCCAACCTTCAGGTAGAGAGCGATGTGAAGCATCCACAAACCTGATGTCGTCAATCATCATCTCATCATCATCGGGACTGTCAGGAATTGGAATTTCCCCAGGTTTTGGTTCTTCAGTTCTTGCCTTCTTTGATGGCGATTCCTCTTCAGGTAGTGGAGGTAGATGTACAGGTGCTTGAGGATGTTCCAGCATCATAGGCAGCTCAGTTGATGTGCGTTGCTTTCTCTCCTTCTAGGAGTCCTCTCTCGCTCTTCTCGCATGTCAGGCATCATCATGCTGACAATTCCAGGTACTTCAGACTCATCGAGTGGTTCTGTTGGGGCATACCCATCAGAGAGATTGTCAGCAGGAACTCCGTCAGAGGTGGATCTTGAGGTTCGAGAAGATCTTCCAAAGTAGGCTCCAGGTTCTCGGTGTCCTTGGCGAGGTCTCGGAACTGTGTCGCGGATCTTGCTCGGAGTTCTTCCAGATCCTTCAGAGCATCAACTGGGTTGACTGGAAAAGATGTTCTGGTATCCTCAACCAATGGTCTCACATGTGCTGGTGAGCATCGTAGCAGTGAAGTGCCATGCAACAGCCATTGAACCACCACCTTTCCACCATCGTTGGAGAGCTCTTGTGCGACACATCGTGCTGGCCCACGCCATTTTGATTTCTGGAGATGTCCAGATCCTTGGATACGCCAGTACCAGCAGCGTTGAACCAGCACCTTGTCCTTACCGTCGTAGAACTTCTGGTTCATGGCTCTTCTGAGCTTTGCGTCAGAGTCGGCCTTGAGGAAGGCGATGCCAGCTTGAAGTCGTTTCTGCTGAATGTTGGCAAAGTGCGTGGTGTCATCGATGTTGTCCACACCAGGGTTGTAGAGCTCAGACATCAAAGAAAGATCCTGTCGTGGAGTCTTGCCCAACACCCATTGAGTTGGAGTGAAGCCTCTTGTGAAAGACATTCCGTTGATCTTTGGCGGAACGTAGATGGCTGCATCTTTGAGCACGGAGAGAGTGTGACCCCCGTTGTCATCCATGTAGAGTTCCAAAGCTCGGCGAACGACTTGATGTCGTCGCTCGACAACTCCAAGCCAGTTGTGGCTCTCAGCAGGGGCAACTTCCAAGATTGTCGGAGCACCAATCTCTCACGGCCTTGCTTTCCCATCCTTTTGCAGCATCTACTCGAAAGTACTTGGGCAATCCAAAGTGACGCACCCAAGTGCGCTACAGGCCCTAGAAAAAAAAATAGTGGAATTCTAGTACTGCCTCCAGCTGAATCCATGAAGAGTCCACCACCAAGCGATTGCCAAAAGTGGTTGAAGAAATTCCTCCAGAAGGTGGTACTTGAAATGGTTTTGCCCTGTGATAGCAGTTGCGGCACGCGTACTCCCGGGCTGCTTGAAGCACGGTCTCTGTCGCCTGCACCTCTGTAAGCATCTTGACCAAGACCTCGGGTGATGGATGGCCCAGGTTCTTGTGCAGTCTGGCGACATAGTCGACCGCTCTTGCTCCAACCTTCTTCTTCCGCTCACGGTTGGCTTTGACCATTTCACAGTCTTTGTCCTCCTCTGGGTTCAGGGGCTCGTCACGAGCTTTCTCAAACTCCAGCAGCTCTCCATCACCATCTTCAGCAGCATTGATCTCAGCGACAGTCTCCTCTCGCTGTGTCATGCAGTGCGCCAGTTCGATAGGCCATCTCATAGGGGTAATCTTGACATAGTCGAGAACGAAGACCTTGTCCCTGAATGTAGCCTTCACACGGTGTGTGTTGATGGTTGCCAGAGCATGCAAATCTCAGCATGCGGTAGAAGAGGTTGCGTCTTGTTGTCAACAAGCATGTTGGCTTCTTGACTGGAAGCACAACTCCATCATCGTTTGGAAGTTCAAGACCAAGCTCGCACTGATCGATGTAGGTTGAGAATCCAACCAGAGGCATGAATGCCTTTGTCTGCCATGCCCTTGACGGCCATGGATGTTCGATGGTCGCATTGCGTCCATCTCGTTGTTGAATCTTGTAGACGGTTGCAACGAACACCAAGTGAGTGTCAGGGTTGACAGTTCGGGAATCGATCAGAAACTGTCGAGCTTCCTCACTTCGGCTTGCTGTGAGCTCTTGCAAAGGGCTCCAAAGACGGCATTCTGGAGAGAGATGAACATCACCTGGCTCCTCGTCAATCAGCAGCTTGATGAAGGACTTTCGGTCTTTTGGCCTTGAAAAGTCCCGGCCTTGTTCAATTCCGAACTTCCGGGCTGAGCAACCTTCCAACTTGTTGACTTCCTCAGAAAGTTGTCCACGTCCGGCGTAGACTTCCCACACCACGTGCTCTTTGCGAGCAGGTTCTTGAGCTTGAGCTTTGAGGTTCTCGTGCTCCTTGACCAGATTCTGTGCCTCGTAGATCATCTTGCGCAGCTTTGCAGTGGTGAGTCGCGCTGTCGGCGCTCCTGTGCTTGAATTCGTCATGCATTTTTCCGGTGAAACTCCATCATCATGAGTGCTTCCTGTGCTCATCTCGGTGATTGGACTCAGTCTTGGCCCTGATTGTGATTCTCCAGGTCCAGCACTCGGATGAATCTCGCTCTTGAAATCCTCCTGCTTGATGTGCACGGCATTGCTTGGCGTCGCCTCACTTGGGGCTGTCACCACAGTGGTCTCAGCTCGGCTGATGATGTCCTCATCGTCCAAGATGGCCGACAAAGGAAGTCCGTCAGTTGTGTCGATGTGGTCGGTGAAGTCATCAGGCATGAGGATCTGCTCGTCCTCATTGTTCCTCAGCTCTTCAAGGTCGGCTGCAAGCCTGACAATGTATTCATCTTTTGGTCCAAGTTCAGCTTCTTGCCATTCACCACCTCGATAGCGAACCATGTTGTTGTCATAGTCCACAACGATGCCGAACTCCCGCATGAGAGGGCGTCCAATGAGGATCGGCGCATTGCCACCAATGATGTAGCATAGCATCTTCCTCCGTTGTCCTCCCACATAGGTCGGAATGAGGCAGCACATGTTGGTGATCTCTTTCTGACTGTTACCGTACTTGAAGCCTTTCTGGCATTTGAAGACTTCCATTTCCTTGTGGATGTTGACACCTAGCACCTCAAGGAGCTTGATGTAGTTTCCAACCATTTTGCGGCTTCCAAGCACTGAAGCTGCTCCACCATCTTGAACAGCTCGATCAGTCAGGTAGTCGAGGTCCTGGGTTGAGAAGGACTCGTCATACTCCACCACCATGCGAACATCATCTTCTTCTCCTGCATTGTCTGCCTTGCGTTTTCTGTCACCTGATGCAGGGCAGTTCTTGGCTTGATGTCCTGCAACTCCGCAACGAAGACAGAGACTTTTGCCAAGAGCTTCAGCTCGGGACTTTGCGGACCCACGTTGTGGTGGATTCATCTGCCTGCTGCTCGGAGGTTTTCCTTTTCCTTTGCTGCTCTTGCCTTTTCCTTTCTTCGATTTTCCACCTTTGCCACCATCTCGATGAGGTTGTTGGACCATGGATAGAATCCTCGGCTGGTCCTCATCCGATTGAGGTGGTTCTTGGCGTCGATGTAGCTGGCAAAGACATCGTCGTACTCGTCCACATTGAAGGCATTGTCGATGGGGTTGGTGTCATTCTCCGCGTCGTAGTAGTACGTCTCGTCACCATCCAACACCTCGTCACCTTCAGCCTCATAGTCATCCCACTCCAGGTAGACCTCGTCATCAGGCCATGCTTCGTCATCCTCTGCCAGGTAGGCATTGGTTTTGTAGGAGGTTGAGCCTTTGTTCCATCGTGATGAAGCTCCGTCCACCTTGCTGTCCTGGCCAATGATGAAGTTCATCGCCTTGATGGCCTTGTCCAGGGTGAGATTCGAGTCACCTAGTTGTGTCAGGATCAGCTGTCGTTGATCCCTCGTCAGGAAACCACCATGCTCGAATCTTCTCGGGCAGCTCGACCTTGTGCACCATCGTCAGACGGCGCTCTGTGTGGAGGTACTCGGCCTGATACTCCTGCAAGGTCTGGCCGTTCTTCCGCTGCATCTTCACGAAGTAGCTCTCAAAGTCTGATGGGAGCTCGGTCATGGCGTCGAACTTGAAGGCAGCGTCCAGGCGCTCGAAGACTGTTGCATAGGCCTCAGGCTTTGCTAGATCTTCGACCGTCAGGTCTTCCACACAATCCCAAGCTCGCCCTTGGAGAAGGGTCACCAGGTTGAACACGGTCTCTTTCTCCCGGTTTGCCAGCTTCATCTTCATCTGATAGATATCGCACCTGCGGCGATGCTCTCTGTAGTCGCCCTGCTTGCCGTTGAACGTCGGCACATAGCTGTCAGCTTTGCCTGTGTAGGCATCTGCAGCTCCACCGCTTGAAGCGGTCCTAGTCACTAGTCCCACTTCCATGGCTGCAAACAGGTCGTCGCACCAGAGTGTCCTATTATGCCGGGGTTACCGGCTCCGCTACCAACAGCAAGTGTTCCCAGCCAACACACGAAATTTGGGGGCAATGGTTTTGGGGAACCCTTTCGGGATTGGAGGCGCAGCTCCTTTTGACTCTGGATGCGACGGTGCGCGCATGAGAATGTCCCACCACTTTGGGCCATACGCCAACAAGTGTTGCACATGGTCTCCATGTAGGCCTGAGTGCACAGCGTTGCACTTGACAAGGTGAAAATAGCTTCAAAACATGGTAAAGGCAACTTTTTAAAACCCCAACATCCAAATTTTCAACAATTTAAGGCCACAATAATGCCTAACCGATGAAAAACCTAAAGACCATCAGCTGCAATGACAACTTCTTATTTTGAACTTATGTTTTTGAGGTTCTGGTTTCTGTTTGGGGGTTGTTTTCTGGGGGGGGGAGAGGTTCGGCGGGGGGGTTTGGGGTCTGTGATTTTAGTAATCTTCTATTTTCGAAACGTCCGCCCTGGCGCGTGCCGGGCACTATCTCGTATGCATAATTATGCATAGATAGTATTCTTATGACACCGGCTTCAACAGAGAAAGTTGATTTTAGCAAAAACAAAAAAAAGCAAAAACAGAAACACAATCAAAAACAGAATCCCAAAAAACAACACAACCTAAAAAAACAAGAAAACACCAATAAATCAAAACCTTGCTTTTCCTCTGTTTTTTGTTTCTGTTTTGTTTTTTTTGTTTTTCTGGTTTGTTTTTCTGTTTGCTCTGAAGATTTTGTTTTTGTTTTTTTTTGTGTAAAACCCTATATTCTCTGTGCTGTTGGACTCATGCTAGTACTCTTTTTGACAGTCCAAGAAACTGAGCAACACTTGTCGTCCAAGTTGATTGCACCGGCGCAGCTTGGCAATAGCAAGCGCCTTTGAACACAGCAAATCAGGGGTTCCACTATGTATCCACCCTCTCTCTCTCTCTATAACGGTAAATAAATAAATGAATAAATAAATAAAAATATAACTATATATATATATATTTATTGTACGTGTATATATACATACATACATATATATATATATATACGCGTACAGTATATATATACATATATATATATATAATATATACACGTACAATATATATATATATACATACATACATACACGTATATTATATATATATATATACACGCAAAATTATACGTACACAATTCATATCAATTGCTCACACGTTAAAGCTACCTTACCCAATGAAATTGCAGGATGTCCTTTGGCTCTTTTTGCTCTTGCAAAGAGCACTGACCCAGATGTGCTTTAACACTGACTCTACAAGTTTTGAGCAAAACTCCATGCCTGTCGCTGGCGCAGTCGCATAAACAATAGGTGCCGTAGACATAGGCAAAAATTGCCTCTCAAACAAAAGGGATCGTCATGCATCAAGAAGTATTGGACTCTGAGAGCTTCTTGCGATCTCTTTCTTTCAAAATGTCTCTTTTGCTGCAGTGAAAACACCTTCCGAGATCTCAGAACAAGACCAAAGGATTGAAATAAATTGCCAACAAGAAATAACACAAACAGATGAAGTTCATACTACGTAGTCTGAATGAAGTTCATATTGAAGTCTGCTTGAGAACTCCTCCACAAGTCAGACTCGAAAAAATGTCTGGTTTCAATTCAGTTTCGGCACAAACTATGGACACCACGCGATTGATAAAGCTGTTGATGTTGATCCACGTTGATCCATGTTGATCCATGTTGATCCTGCATTTTTCTGCTGCATGATATTACGTTGTATTGCATCTTTAGCTTCTTGATACCTCACAGCTTCACAGCGCCCTTTTCGCCTCGGAAGTGGCCTCACTTCTAGGCGTGGCTGTGAACCAATGGCTGCCATGTCAGGTCGTCTCGGTACTCGCTGCAGTGCGTCCAAAACGACACGGGCGTCATAAAAAAATCAGAAGTTTCAGTTGGACAGAAAGGATCTCGAACTTTGCTGCAACATGTTAACACGCTTCAGTGAAACATCTTGCGCACTGAAAACATTGCTGCCTTGCAACTAGCATGCGCACACACCAAGACACAAACATGGAGATACTGGTAAGGCCAAACAAAAGCTTGGCAGTGACGTTAAACACCATTAAAAAACATTGCTTCTTGTTCTCGTGTGATTAAGCTGATTCCGGCCATGCCCAGGCCCTTCGGATTTTTTTCATGAAACTCAAATCTCGTTTGTGAGCAGTACTCACGTAGAAAAATCAGAGCACTGAAAGGTGCTCAGAAAGCTCTGTACCAGTGTATTTCCACGAAAATAAAACAGCAACAACAACAGCGAGAAAATTGATAACAATAATTTAGGGGCTTTTGCCAAACTTTTGTCTGTTCATTTGATTCCGACATTGCCATGACAGATCATGGCGCTGGGACTATTTGCAGTTGCAAAATAGAGGGTGTTGTGCCAACCTCTTCCAAACGGCAACGTAGCGTTCCCGCATGTTCCCGCACTTCCCTCTTGTACTCTGTTTGTCCTCTGATTCTTTGGAAACGCGCATATTCGCCAGGACATCCCAAGCACATGCACCCTTCAGGCCTGGATTGGGAAATCATGGGAATCTGCAAACAAAGGCTTTGCAAGCTTTCGCAACAAAGAGATGTTTATGCTAGCGGAATTTTGAACGTCCCATAATGTCCCACAAACTGGGGTGGAGCAATAAAGTCCATGTTGACTTGCACACGCACTTGATGCTACGCTAGACATGTCTTACGCTAGAGATGGGGTGGGGTGGAGCAATAAAGTCCATGTTGACTTGCACACGCACTTGATGCTACGCTAGACATGTCTTACGCTAGAGATGGGGTGGGGTGGAGCAATAAAGTCCATGTTGACTTGCACACGCACTTGATGCTACGCTAGACATGTCTTACGCTAGAGATGGGGTGGGTTGGAGCAATAAAGTCCATGTTGACTTGCACACGCGCTTGATGCTATGCTAGACATGTCTTCAGCTAGGGATGGGGTGGGGTGGAGCAATAAAGTCCATGTTGACTTGCACACGCGCTTGATGCTAGGCTAGACATGTCTTCAGCTAGAGATGGGGTGGGGTGGGGCAATAGCGTCCACGTTGACTTGCACACGCGCTTGATGCTAGGCTAGACATGTCTTAGCTAGAGATGGGGTGGGGTGGAGCAATAAAGTCCATGTTGACTTGCACACGCGCTTGATGCTAGGCTAGACATGCCTTCAGCTAGAGATGGGGTGGGGTGGGGCAATAGCGTCCACGTTGACTTGCACACGCACTTGATGCTAGGCTAGACATGTCTTCAGCTAGAGATGGGGTGGGGTGGGGCAATAGCGTCCACGTTGACTTGCACACGCGCTTGATGCTAGGTTAGACATGTCTTCAGCTAGAGATGGGGTGGGGTGGGGCAATAGCGTCCACGTTGACTTGCACACGCGCTTGATGCTACGCTAGACATGTCTTACGAGAGAGATGGGGTGGGGTGGAGCAATAAAGTCCATGTTGACTTGCACACGCACTTGATGCTACGCTAGACATGTCTTACGCTAGAGATGGGGTGGGGTGGAGCAATAAAGTCCATGTTGACTTGCACACGCACTTGATGCTACGCTAGACATGTCTTACGCTAGAGATGGGGTGGGGTGGAGCAATAAAGTCCATGTTGACTTGCACACGCACTTGATGCTACGCTAGACATGTCTTACGCTAGAGATGGGGTGGGTTGGAGCAATAAAGTCCATGTTGACTTGCACACGCGCTTGATGCTAGGCTAGACATGTCTTCAGCATTGCACACGCGCTTGATGCTAGGCTAGACATGTCTTCAGCTAGAGATGGGGTGGGGTGGGGCAATAGCGTCCACGTTGACTTGCACACGCGCTTGATGCTACGCTAGACATGTCTTCAGCTAGGGATGGGGTGGGGTGGAGCAATAAAGTCCACGTTGACTTGCACACGCGCTTGATGCTAGGCTAGACATGTCTTCAGCTAGAGAAGGGGTGGGGTGGGGCAATAGCGTCCACGTTGACTTGCACACGTGCTTGATGCTAGGCTAGGCATGTCTTCAGCTAGAGATTGGGTGGGGTGGGGCAATAGCGTCCACGTTGACTTGCACACGCGCTTGATGCTAGGCTAGACATGTCTTCAGCTAGAGATGGGGTGGGGTGGGGCAATAGCGTCCACGTTGACTTGCACACGCGCTTGATGCTAGGCTAGACATGTCTTCAGCTAGAAATGGGGTGGGGTGGGGCAATAGCGTCCACGTTGCCTTGCACACGCGCTTGATGCTAGGCTAGACATGTCTTCAGCTAGAGATGGGGTGGGGTGGGGCAATAGCGTCCACGTTCACTTGCACACGCGCTTGATGCTAGGCTAGACATGTCTTCAGCTAGAGATGGGGTGGGATGGGGCAATAGCGTCCACGTTGACTTGCACACGCGCTTGATGCTAGGCTAGACATGTCTTCAGCTAGAGATGGGGTTGGGTGGGGCAACAGCGTCCACGTTGACTTGCACACGCGCTTGATGCTAGGCTAGACATGTCTTCAGCTAGAGATGGGGTGGGGTGGGGCAATAGCGTCCACGTTGACTTGCACACGCGCTTGATGTCTTCAGCTAGAGATGGGGTGGGGTGGGGCAATAGCGTCCACGTTCACTTGCACACGCGCTTGATGCTAGGCTAGACATGTCTTCAGCTAGAGATGGGGTGGGATGGGGCAATAGCGTCCACGTTGACTTGCACACGCGCTTGATGCTAGGCTAGACATGTCTTCAGCTAGAGATGGGGTGGGGCAACAGCGTCCACGTTGACTTGCACACGCGCTTGATGCTAGGCTAGACATGTCTTCAGCTAGAGATGGGGTGGGGTGGGGCAATAGCGTCCACGTTGACTTGCACACGCGTTTGATGCTAGGCTAGACATGTCTTCAGCTAGAGATGGGGTGGGGTGGGGCAATAGCGTCCACGTTGACTTGCACACGCGCTTGATGCTAGGCTAGACATGTCTTCAGCTAGAGATGGGGTGGGGTGGGGCAATAGCGTCCACGTTGCCTTGCACACGCGCTTGATGCTAGGCTAGACATGTCTTCAGCTAGAGATGGGGTGGGGTGGGGCAATAGCGTCCACGTTCACTTGCACACGCGCTTGATGCTAGGCTAGACATGTCTTCAGCTAGAGATGGGGTGGGATGGGGCAATAGCGTCCACGTTGACTTGCACACGCGCTTGATGCTAGGCTAGACATGTCTTCAGCTAGAGATGGGGTGGGGCAACAGCGTCCACGTTGACTTGCACACGCGCTTGATGCTAGGCTAGACATGTCTTCAGCTAGAGATGGGGTGGGGTGGGGCAATAGCGTCCACGTTGACTTGCACACGACTTGATGCTAGGCGAGACATCTCTCCCGTAAAGATTGGATGGGGTGCTGTGAATAATGCGAATAATGACTTGTTTTAGCATGTCGTACTCTTTCCAATGTCGGTGGGAGAATGGTCAAACCAGTCTCATTTCTCAAACAGCAATCTGAAAGAGCTGGACTTACGCAACAAAACGAGCGTCCGCCAAGACAAGAAAATGCTGGAAGGGTGGACGAGTCCAAAACGAACCGATATGTTTTTATGATCCCATTGTTGGCACGAAAAAACATTTCGCCGTGGCAAAAATGCAATTTAAAATCCGGCGGCATGTTTATGGCCGTGTTTATGGATCACCTCATCCAGAGACCAGATCTAAAGCAGACAAAATAGACAAGATTAGAAAAACATCTTTTTGGATTTCAATGAAAATTTTCTTTGAAAGAAGACAGTGCCAACTAACGACTTTCAACATTTATCACACATGTGATCAATCATGGCAAAATATGTTTGAGTTTGTTTGGGTTTGACTCAAAGAGGTTGACACTGGCTGAACGAAAGGTTCACACCCCTGCGAAAATCTTCCCTTTGGAGAGCTGCTGCCAGCATCATCCACCGCAGGCGCCGGCCAAAGCGACTTCCACCCGATGCAGCTTCAGATAAACAGATGAAGATGAAGAAAGATTGGGTGTCCCAGTCAGAACAAACGCTTCCGCAAAGCATTTTGACCATGTTTCTCGTTCGCAGCGCAACTTACAAAACATAAATCGCTGCAGGGTGTCGGAATCAGAGCAAGTCAAAATGCAGGATTCTGCGGCATTGACTGCGTCGCGCTAACACATGAGACCAAGCGAGGGACTCACTTGGACTCCTGGATCGGCTCTTTGGAAAATACTCAGAAACGAAATGAAACGAACAGGTTTGACTTGGCAATGATTTGGCATAAGATTCAGCAAAAATTGATCCACAATATCAACACACTTCTTGCTGTCTCGGGAGTAGACACGGTGCGCAGAACAAAAACGCACAACCCTGTTTCACACAGAAACGGTTGCAGCCTACGATGCAATCATATAACTTGTTTACACATTACAAACAATTATATACAAACATAATCAAACACAATTACATACACAGAATATAGACGAATATAGTTTGTTCGAAGCAATTCGGATCGATTTGGTCCAGGTCGACTGTCAGGAATTCAAGGTTGATGGACTGATGGACTCGTTTCCTTTTGTTCCCTCTCTCTCATTTAAGCTGGCCATTTGAACTCACCATTTCAGGTCTCCTTTGAGAAACCAGAAATACGTTCCAGTGTACAATCCAAGTATACTGAATTGCTTAAGCTGGCTTGAGGGTTTTCGCATGTTTTTCCACGTTTTCCCCCAAACAGCGTGCTGTTAGGGGTCCGCCTTGGTGTTGGATGGCGTGTCCGCCTTCCCAAAGGTCTTGTCTCCCCGTCTTGTTTCCCTTTGTTGGATGGTGTGTCTGCATTTTTGAGGGTCTTGTCTCCCTTTGTCTCCCTTTGTCTCCCATTGTGCCCCTTCTTGTTTCCCTTTGTTGGATGGTGCGTCCGTCTTCCCGAGGTCTTGTCTCCCTTTGTCTTCCATTGTGCCTCTTCTTGTTTCCCCTTGTTGGATGGCGTGTCCGCCTTCCCGAGTGTCTTGTCTCCCTATGTCTCCCATTGTAACCCTTCTTGTTTCCGTTTGTTGGATTGTGTGTCCGCCTTCCCGATGGTCTTCTTGTCTCCCCTTTTCTCCCATTGCCTTCTTGTTTCCTTTTGTTGGATGGTGTGTCCACCTTCCCGATGGTCTTCTTGTCTCCCCTTTGTCTCCCATTGCCTTCTTGTTTCCTTTTGTTGGATGGTGTGTCCGCCTTCCCGATGGTCTTCTTGTCTCCCCTTATCTCCCATTGCCTTCTTGTTTCCTTTTGTTGGATGGTGTGTCCACCTTCCCGATGGTCTTCTTGTCTCCCCTTTGTCTCCCATTGTCTCCCTTCATGTTTCCCTTTGTTGGATGGCGTGTCCGCTTTCCCGAAGGTCTTGTCTCCCTTTGTCTCCCTTTGTCTCCCATTGTACCCCTTCTTGTTTCCCTTTGTTGGATGGTGCGTCCGCCTTCCCGAGGCCTTGCCTCCCCTTGTCTGCGATTGCGTTGTCTCCCGACATGTGTGCCTCTGTTGGATGGCGTGTCCGCCTTCCCGAGGGTCTTGTCTCCCTTTGTCTCCGATTGTCTCCCTTCTTGTTTCCCTTTGTTACGAGTAGATGGTGCGTCCGCCTTCCCGAGGGTCCTGTCTCCTCTTGTCTCCCATTGTCTCCCTTCTTGCTGGATGTTGTCTCCCCTTGTCTCGCATTGTCTCCCATTGTCCACTATTGTTTCCTTTTGTCTCCCATTATCTCCAATCTCCCTTCTTGTTTCCCTTTGTTGGATCGTGTGTCCGCCTTCCCAGGTCTTATCTCCCCTTGTCTCCCTTTGTCTCCCCACATGTGTGCCTGTGTTGCATGGTGTGTCCGCCTTTGCCGGGTCTTATCTCCCCTTGTCTCTTATCGTCTCCACACGTGTGTGGGTGTGTTGGATGGTGTGTCCGCCTTCCGGAGGTCTTGTCTCCCATTGTCTCCGATTGTCTCCCCACTTGTGTGCCTGTGTTGGATGACGTGTCTGCCTTCCCGAGGCCTTGTCTCCCCCTGTCTCCCGTTGTCTCCAATTGTCTCCCCTTGTCTCCCATTGTCTCTCATTGTCTCCCCCACATGTGAGCCTTCCCGGGGTCTTGTCTCCCATTGTCTCCCAGCTTGTGTTCCTTCTTGTCTCCCAGCTTGTCTCCCAGCTTGTCTCTCTTCTTGTTTCCCTTTGTGGCGGGTGGTCTCATTTTGCATTTTTCCCCAAACAGTGTGCTGTTAGGGGTTCTTAATGGTTTCTCATGTGTTTGACCCTGTTCCTCAAAACACTTCTTGAATCCACCCACTGTTTGGGGTCTACCGTGGTGTAATTAATGTGAAAGTTCAGCAAGACGGCTCCAGCCTTTCCCACTCCCTGCCTCACTTGCCTCGCTTGCCTTGTTGGCAGCTTTCTCTGCCAAAGCTTTAGCTTTCTGTTCCAACCTACAATGTCTAGCAGGACTGCGAAGGCACTTGCGGCATTGTTTGCTATGTATTTGACGCTTTCATGTGCTTTCTGACATTGCCTTACTTGGCAAAACTGGTCACAGGAAGAGATCCAGAATTTAGGGCTAGTCAGTGAAAAGATCTTCAACTGTACAACATAGTTCAGATGTGCTTACATTGTCCGTGCTCTCTGTAACATGGGCATGTTGACGTCACCTCAACAATGGGACAATTGGTGTGTTGTAAAACCTCTGCATAACCTCTGAGGGTCATAACTTTGTTTGAGTTCTACAGCACCTGTATCGGAAGGAGACGTGTAGGGTGTAAGGGAGATGTTCGAAAGGAGCTGCGAGGACAGTCTGGGCTAAGCCAAAATATAGTGTTTACATTGGGCGCAGGTTTACTTGACAAATGTCCGACCTCTCCCAGCAGATCCTCACAGGCTCATTTGTGCACTGGCATGATCTCCGCAAATACTTGGTTTAATTTAAGGAGTCTAAGAACCGAGGTTCACAATTTGGACTGAATTGGGCACAGCATTTATGCAAGTTGTCTGTCGTTCCTGGTCAAAATTTAAACTAAAACATACTAAATTAAATCATAACAATATATAACAATACTATCTGAACATATCTGAACTGAACTGGGTTCTTTCTGACCTAGTGGGAACAGGCACTTCGCCTCTCCGCCAATTTCTTCTTCTCGCGGATCTCAATCTGTGGCAAGGCAAACCGTTTCTGCGAAAATTGGCAGAATCCGAACAGGCAAAGATGAAATCAGATGAAAGAGTTGCCGCACAAACACAACTTTCAACTAGTCGAGCTTTAGAAACAAATGCATCGTCTGATGAAGCGTCTGATGCGTCTGATGCGTCTGTGCATGCTCTCTGCATGGTCTCTGCATGGTCTGCGGCACCTCTCTCAACATTTCTTCAGCCTTCTGCAACTTGACTTGATTCTGCCTGGCGGCAATGCCAGGCCGAAAGGTTCTGGACTCCGGTTTCAAAAGGTGATCTTTTTGCACTTTCATGTTATATCATGTATTATCATGTATTATCATGGTATATCATATCTTATTCTGATACATTGAATTGAACCGTTCCCACATCTGCAATCATTGAATTTTGTTTTGGTTGCCCCAAGCTCAACATGGCAAGCATGGCTTGTAAGTCTCAAAGTCAGAGGTCACCTTCGACCTGGATTTGCTTGCTGCAATGCAAAGAAGCACCACACAAGTAACATACAAGTGGGGAATACGAAAGTTCCTTCAAGACCAACACAGACCGTCAGTAATCACCCGGAAAATAAAATCAAATCATCAAATCAAAAACCAACCCGAGTAAAATTGTTCTCACCAAGCTAGATGCTCAGACAGCAATGCTCAGAGCATCTACATCTAATGACAATATCAACAACGGTAGCATACGGTAGCAGATCATTTGGTACGCAAGTGATTGCAGGTGATTGTAGGCGTGTGACCTCTTCTAACTTATTGTATCTAGATGTATCCAGCAGATCCTTGCAGGGTAGGACCCGGCCATCTCAAGTGCGGAGTTCGTATTCCCCTCCATCCGGCAGTGCTAAATTTTGACTCTGTCACATCCGGTCTCATTACATAGGAAGGCTGTCCTGAACCATTTGAATCAACTGATATTTTGCTGATTTGCTTTCGACCAACACTGAGCAACAACATCACATCAAGTGCATGCTACCAAATCTACATAAGCTCAGACAACGGGCCTGAATCTCCAGTATATGCAAAGAAGTCAAAGAATCACTGTCTTGTTGAAAGCTGAAACGAAGTTGGACTAGCAAGGCTTTCTCTCGTGAATACCCCCAAGACCACTCCACTTAGATCAGTCGAAACTATAACATTCCAACATATTCCAACGCATCTACATGATTTCCACATGCTATGCATGCCATGCTATTGCTATCACCTCTTGAAGTTCGTTCGTGCAGATCGTTACGCTTCAAAGCTTGCCTTAGCTTGCCTTAGCTTGCCTTGTGTCGTCTGAAGGATTCTTGTCTTGTTGGATGCTTGGGTTCCAACGTTGGCTCGATCTTCAATGCCTTTGCCCATTCCTCAGCGTTGGCCCTGGTGACTTCCACACCACCTTGGCACCATGGTGAGGGGGCGGGGAATCCTGAAAGTTGGACAATGCAGATCACCGAAGCACTCATTCCATTTCAGATATTTCAGAGACTGAACGAATCTGACTTCCAGCTGAAACGCCATACACGCACATACCAAGTCACATCAAGTCTCGTTTTAGGGATGCAAAAGGATGACTTTCGGCAAGAACTGTGTCAAAGATGATAGAGTTTCGTCAACCCGTTTCAGGTCAACAGAGGTCATGGGTGAACCGGGCTCTCAAGCTGAGCTCCATGATACGGAAGAGGCCCATGCTGAAGGTAATGGAATAAAGAGATGACCTCAGACACCGTCGAGCGACTAAGATCAAGACGTCTGAATCTACAAGACATCTATAGTCTATATATGCAAATTGGTACCGTTGAATTTGAGTCAATTCGGCGTTTAAATGTCTTAGGCATGTTGAAGTACTTGATGGCGCTGCACCAAGACAATGCTGTAATACACTGTAATACCGTAATTGCATCACGTTGCACCATAGTCTAGGGATGCTGTGCCTGGCGGAAAAACATTCTCGAACTGTCTCAAACTCTACTGCGATTCCACAGGTGGAGCTTGTATGTGGCCGTAGCTTCTGCACATGTTTAGTCCCAGTTGATCCGAATTAATCCTAGAATTCATCCCGTCCACTAGTACGTCTGGCTAAAAAGGATAGGCAAATTGGTCGCTGGCAAATTCTGGTGAGATCTAACCTTGCAATCTTCAACCTTTGGTGCCTGAAAATAAGAGCATCCATGAAATGTTCGTCCCTTTCCCAAGTGGCAAACTCTGCAAACTATTCATCTCCATGAATCTCTTTATACTGTATCTCTTTCATGCCGCTCTATGCGGCGTGTACCAAGGCTCCCCAGCTTGATGGACTCAAACGCGTCAGCCACTTTGCCTTCTGAAGGCTTCTCTGTGCCCTCGCAGCCGTTGTCCGTGCACAAAACTTCTGTTTTTTCAAAGACATATTGGATTTGTTGGATTTGTTGGATCATGGATGGGTCTTGTCGGGATTGTGTTAGCTCAAAATAATTTCAGCCTTGCACCTCCCAGTTTATCGTCCTTGAGGATGAGTCACGCCTTCCCTACCAAGTCCACGTGGAAAACCTCTGCTAGTGCTTACACAAATATGTCTGATCACAAATATGCAATCACTACTGTAATATGACATACGATGACACAATATGACAACTCTGAGGATGTCAATTCTGCTGAATCGTTAATTTGTGACTATGATTTAAAATAATCCGTAGTCTATATGTGGGTGTGTACAAATGTACAACTACATGGGCATATGTATGAATGTCTGTAAGTGTAGAATACTTTAGATAATATAGATGTCTGTTTTTAACCACTTGTGGGCACATATGGCAACAATGACGGATTTATATTTAATCGACGCTTTCCGCCCCAGAATCTCCTCCATGTGTTTCAGGATTTCGGCAGGTGTCGTGGAACCTCAACTGCTCAGCTCAATGCTCAATGTACTGGTACGCAATACTCACTACTCGACAGAGACACCGCAAATATCAAGTCGCTCCACGTTCAAAGCCCATCTTTGCAACCAGTCATGACCTATCTTACAACCCATCATACTTTTCGCATCATGTTCATCAATCTGCGGGTCAAGTACAGTCAGTGTCTGGTACCCAAGTGTTCATTGCTCTTCAGTGCACTCTTGCACAAACGCGATCATAGTGTACTCAAAACACGGTAACATAGTTCTGTCATGTTCTATCAGATTCTATCGTGTTTCTTCGCTTCTCTGACCCCTTCTCTCCCCTTTCTGGGCCCTTGCTGGCATACTTGGCCACTGCTTCCGCATCTGCTGAGACCTCCCAAGTTGTCCCAACAATGTTGAAGCATCACCGACATCACCGACCTAAACGTTCCTTGATGTTCCTTGTGCTCTGCAATGTCTGTGAAGTTTTGTTTAACTGACGACAGCACATTCACCTCTTTGGCAACACCACGTTCACAAGGCTACCGCACCCATACTTTGAAATACTTTGAATAGCACGCTTCAAAGGCACTAATTCCCCAGTTGAAGTCAGAAGATAAGGGGCCATCCACAGACTTCTTCCCCAGCCTGATCGGGCTTCATGCCGATGGCAGTAACCAACGACTTCCAGATCTTTTCGGATTCATCACCTGGGCAGCACAAAATATCCTTCTGCAAAGGGAAAAGAAATGGCTATTGAAGCAGTATAGAAGCAACGTGAACGAAGGAAGCTCGAAGATAGAACAATGACAAGAACAACATAATGATGTATATGTGTGTATATGATATATATATATATATTATATCTATATATATATATATTCGAAAGAAGTTTAGAAGTGAAACTTCCGACAATATGGACAGTTGAAAAGCAGAGGTGAGAAGAGTCAGAAGAGACAAGATCAGAAGAAAGAAGATGCAGATGCGCGAAAAGGTAGGAAAGTTGCGAAACACTGTGTTTTTCCAATGATTTGTGGCTCCGGTGGGTCGAAAAGTAGGCTCGCTAAAGCGGCGGGTGCGGAGCCAGCTGGCCAGATGAGAGATGAAAAATTGCACGCCGTTGTGGCGCGAAGCACATTTCCAAGTCAAAATGTCCAAAACACACCAGGTTCGGACCACTTTTGGAAATTGAGATGTCGAAAAAGTGCACGCCGTTGTGGCGCGAAGCACATTTCCAAGTCAAAATGTACAAAACACCCCATTCTCGGACCACTTTTGGAAGTTGAGATGTCGAA